CGTTGGTAAAAGAGTAGCCCAAGAGTTGACGGTGGGTGGTGATAACTAGCTGCCTTCCCTCTAGTCTTACACTGCTAAATTAGGGACGGCTAGTGCAGATAGCCTTCGTGTAGCTTTGCGCGAAATTAAAAAAAACAAACAAACAAACTTGAGCTTTTTAAAGAAACAACAAATTTCTGTAAGAAACTAACTTCAACATCGTTTACACTAGAATTATGATTTTTTTTAATTACTACTGGTTATAAATAATACTTATAAAAGCGGATAGTCCGTTTGAAACTATGTCACCTCAGTGAAATTTGTTGACAACATTGTTTTGGTTTTTGAATTATTATGTAATAAAAAAAGAAGCAGAAGAAAGAAGAACAAGAAATTCAAACTTTTTTGCTCTGATATTTACAGACATTCCCAGAACTTGCGACTTAGTCATTATATATATTGTTATAAAAGGAAACACTGTACAGTATTGTAAAGTTCTGATGACTTATTGAGGAGATATTTAAAATACCATTTTGATGAACAATCCGAGCCATTTCGACATAGGCAGTGCTGCCACCTGCCTGATTATACGTATTTTTTTGTCAACAGTTCTAATCAAATAATCTATCATTACATTCATAAAACATCAGGTATTAACAACTTTTCTTCATCACTCAGCAGCACAAAGAAACAATTTTTCCAAGTATTAAGTGAAGATCATTTTTATCTATTCAATTTAATTTTCATTTTTGTTCACATGTTAGATAATGCAATAAGTAAGAAATATATTTTTCTAATTAAGAAATTGTATCCGGGGGATTTCATTTCTATAAGACACGGGTCAAAGTAGTGCTTACAGAAATGCAGGCAAGATTTTTAGGTGTTCCAATTCTGTAATGAGCATGTGTTACCGATAAGATTCTAAAGTAAACGTGTATAAATATTGCTCCGCTGTAGGTAACAACTACATGTGACGCAGCGCTATGAGGAACGTATCTGAGTGATATATTTCCAGAGTAAACGTACATAAGTATTGCTGCTCTTTAGGTGACAGGTATAGGTGATACAACTCTGTAAAAAAAAAAAAGATGGTAGAGTTCTGAAAGAAATAGTTGTAAGTCATGTTTCTTAATTAAAAGGTGTAAGTGATGCAATTTTGTGGAAAGAAGGTCTATAAAGAAACATAGCATTTGAAAAGGAACAAGGCACTTCTGTAAGGAACAGATCTAAGTGGAACAGGTCTGACATGATAAAGATCTGAAGGAAATAGGCTAAAATGATAGAAATCTCTATGGAACGTGTCTAGATGTTGCAGTTTTGCAAGAAACAAGTCTAAGTTATATAGTTTTGCAAGGAAGAGGCGTGAGTGGTATATTTTTCTAAGGAACAAGTCTGATTGATACAGTTTTTAAGTAAATGTCACTTATTGATCCAGTTTTATAAAGAACAGGGCGGGGTGATGCAGTTTTGTAAGAAACAATTTGAAGTGGTGTAGTTTTTGCAAGAAACAAGTCTAAGTTATATAGCTTTGCAAGTTACAGGCGTGAGTGGTATATTTTTCTAAGGAACAAGTGTTGAGTGATACAGTTTTTAAGTAAATGTCCCTTATTGATCCAGTTTGGTAACAAACAGGTTTAGTCACCCTATTGGGGATGTTTTTCGTTTAGGCTTTATCATGAAGTTATAGATTCTAATGTTGTCAACGAAACAGAGAGGTATATCGTAAATAATTGTAAAAAACACGCAGATGATACTATACACACAGGAAACAAACAATGAGGAATTGCAACTAAATTTATCGTTGGTACAATCGATTATTACCGATTCAAATTCCTGTCACCGAACATGTTCGCACTTTCAGCCGTGGGGGCGTTATAATGCGTGACGGTCAATCCCACTGTTCGTTGGTAAAAGAGTAGCCCAAGAGTTGGCGGTGGGTGGTGTTAACTAGT